GGCTTTAGCACTGCAAGCCATGCTGCTACTTGCTGATTGCAGTAGCAGATCAGGTTTTTGTGCTTGTAACACCGTTTGCAGGCCTATCTTCTGGTCCTGGGTCAGCCAGAGACCCTCACTTTAAGGCCTAGAGCATGACATTAAGGTTTTCTCTGCCTTGGTTTCCCATTTGTTTGAACTGACTGTGAAGCTATTTTCTCTAAAGACTTTCTTTTGCCCATGTGTAATTGTACTGTGATTCCCAAGAGGGGCATTGATCTCTCCAGCACATCAGCAACAGTTATATCAGGGTGATAAAGAGCAGGGAGCTGCCTTGGGATTTTGGTCACAGGTGCCCATGTTAGTTTGATTTTACCATCAAATGCCAGTGAAATGTTTTGCCTGGGACAGCAGCAGATGAAGACAGTCTGAACCGTTTTGCACAGAGGATGTACTGAGCATCCCACTGCAGCTGTCACCAGTGTCGGGGGAGACACCGGTCTCCGCTTCGAGGACTCCTTACTGCTGCTGACCATCGGTTTCAGTGTTCTTGCGTGGCTGTAGGGGGAAGCGCAGCGCAGGGAGCAAGTACCCTGAGCAGGGGTGAACCACACTGTCCCTTCCTTCGGATGTGCATCCCTGGGAGCAGGTGGCTGAGCAAAGCCAGAGAAGTGAGTTAGCAAAATAGAAGGACAAGTGGGAGAATCATTTATTTCTTCTGGCGTTTACTGGCATTTGCTAGTTTTTCTTCTGGACTTGGGTTGTTCAGCGCTCTCCCAAGGTTTAAGTAAAGGTCAGCGGCTTGCTCAGGCACACTTAGTAATTACATTCCTCTGGCCTTTCCCCACTGTTTGCAGTTCTGCTTGTCGTAGGCATAAGGTTGCTCCAAGTTCAGACCCCTTCTTTGGGTCCGGTGCTTATACCAGAAGACATGGCCCTTGGTATTCCTGGCCCATGTACCAGCAGCAAAACCCTCTTGTGTTCAACTCTGAGAATCTCACATGTGGAAAGACAAAGTAAACCCAGATGCAGGCTCCTGTTTTCTTTAATGAGATTGCTGTCCCCCAAGGAAATGAAATCTCATAAGAATGTTTTGGAGAAAGAATGCAAATTATTTCCTTTTTTTTAGTGGAAGTAACCATCAAAGACTCAGTCTTTCCAGTAATCTCTGTTAGCCTCATGGGCTTTCACAGATGAAAACAAGATATTAACCACAAAAACATTATTGTTTTTTGTTTAAGCCTAAATTTTGTAACTGTCAGTTGTACATTTGGACTTTTTACCCAGCTTTTTCTCTGGAGCAAGGTAGTAAATGTTTTACTAAGACATATTTGTAGTCATTTGGGTTTTGTTTTGTTAATTGGGAATCTGTGAAGAGCATCTGTTGCTCTGTGTCTACAGCATCATGTCAGCCCCACTTGCTGAACTGATCTACTTGAGAATAGCTTTAAAGATGACAAGAAGCAGAGTCAGGAGTTTATAATCCAGAGTGTGGCTCTGTCTTCCTTTCCACCTGCTCTGTCCAAGAGAAGCTAAGGGGACACAGAAGGGGAATATCACATGGATCTTCTGGTTTCCATTGCTCAGGTGCCACGGGCATGGTTACTGGTAAGGGCAGCATGTACTGATCTGAGTAACCCCACTAAAATCAGGATCTGACTACAAGATGTATCTGCGATCGGGGCTGTGGTGGCTGCAGTTTCGCAGTAACCCCCCCACGAAGGAAGCCCATCTGGAGTGTCTGAGAGTCTGGCTGTTCCTGGTCCACACAGGGGTTTGGTCTGGAAAACCTTCTACCTGGGGCCAGAAGAGTTAGTGTTCATTGCCCAAGTCATCTAACTGACTTAGTTCACTTGAGGGCTGGTTGTGGGGTGGGTCTGCGATAAATCTCATGTTACAGAACGAATTAACGTTATCAAGCTGTGGTTACAGCACAGATCTGCTGTAATGGAGCTAGTTGCAAAGGAAAAGGGTAAGGCGGAAGAAAGCATGTTAGGTGAGGCTAATCCTCAGCCCGTTCAGCATTTCAGTAGGCCAGCTGGCTGCTGAATGCAGGGGTGTTGGCAGACTCTTTCCAGGGCATCTTTTCTCCTCTTGTTGTTAAGGTGGGATTTCCTTGTAGGTAGGAGCATGGCAAAGGCCTGGGGCCTCAGTTTGAAATCCAGCTTTGGTACGAGAGGGGTGAGGGACACTTCTACCTCAGAGCAGCTAGCTCCTCGTTCCCTCTGGTCGATGCTGGGGTATCTCCTGGTCATGCAGAGTTTTGGATTGCCTTCAGGATTCCTGATGTGTATACTCTTCGTATCCCAGAATTAGGTTCCTCTTCCCAAATGTACTTCATGTGGGTGACTGTGCAGATATCCTGAAGCCTCATTTAATTTCCCTTGGCTAAAGTCAGTAACAGTTAATTCTATGGTGACTACTTGGTGAATGAACTTTTCTTTCTTTTTCTGTGTTTTATTTTAAAGGATATGTTTCTTTACAAGACTCTAAAGCATAAAACTACCCACACAAAGATTGCCGCAGTGTAACGCCCTAGGTCTAATTCAGATTTCTTCTTTGTGGAAAGGTGGTTTGATCCCCCTGCCACCAATTCCTGAGTGGCTGTGATTTCAGGCAGCCGAGGCATTGGAGAGATGTCTTAAGCAATAAAAAGTCAGTTGACTTGATTGGATGAAGATTATTGCAGTCACAGGGGCCTGACATGGGCAAGTCACCAAAGGTTAACGTAGCAGAGAGGAGACAGTTATCTTGCCAAGGGTTTGCTGATGAACATAACTTCATGTTATGTTCATCATAGGATAGGATAGGATAGGAGGAAAAGAAGACAGGACCCTGGAACTATCACTTGGGCCAGTGTAATGCATGTTATAATTGCAGGAGGCATTGGTAATCACTACTTTTCAGAAGAAATTCCTTTGCTAACTTACTGGCAAATGATAATTTTATGGTAATTACAGATTGCAGATGTATTCTTCAGAATCCTGGAAAACACTTAACTGGAACAGGAAGAATGCCACAGTTAATCTCTTTAGCATGTTACTGTCTATTCAGGAACTCGGATTCCCACAGAATCAGTTCTAGGACCTGTGCTGTTCACAGCGATCCAAAACACAATCCAGACGCAACCCTGGCCTCAGCATCAGCTGTTACTGCTCAGAAGATGGAGCTGGGGAACAGCATGGACGGCTGCACAGGCACATCTGCTGAATGCTCACGGACAGCCAAGGGGTTGGGAGGGGGCAGAGGGAAGGAAAGAGAGAACGAAAGGTGTTCTGCTGCTCTCCAAATGCCCCTGCTCCTGAATGTATGTGCAGTTCCTGTCCTTTCTTTAAAGGGATGGAGAGGAATTAGAAAAGAAACAGAGAAAGATAATGAAAGGCGTAAAATGACTTTAGCGTGAGGAGAGAGTAAACAGAGTACTAGTCTTCAGCTCCAGAAGAGATGTCAGATGGTAGAGATGATAAAGGTCGATAAAATCACTGAGGAGATGGAGAAGGTGACTAGAGAACGATTTTTCCCTGTTTCTCACAGCAGAAGAACTAGGGGGGATCAAAGGAAATTTATCAGGCAGCAAATTTAAAATAAGCAAGAAATACTTTGTTCACATGACAAATATAAGTTGTGGAACTTACAGGACATTGGTGTTGGAGGGTGTTAACTGCATGGGTGTGAATAAGAGCTACTGAAAATGCTTTCCTTCATTCATTCACTCTTGTGAGGGACAGGCGGGCCACGAGCCATGGGTGAGGGCTGCTATGTGCGGTCCTAGACAGCCATGCTTCGGGCTGGACATGCTATGAGCTCGGCCCATGTGCCAAATGACAAACAGCATAGGCACAGAGCTGTCTGCAGCGACCCTCTGGTTAGGGTCCCTAACCCCCTCCGGAAAGGCCTGATGTCCTGAAATCCTGCACAAGCAAACTGTGCTGGGTGATGCTGAAGAAGGAAAAGGGATCCAAAATGCTCTTAATCCCACTGCTTTTCTGTTAAGTCTGTGACCATAAAAAGTAGCTACAGGATGCCACCAGGACGCAAGAAAAATTGCCCTGGCGAGCACGATGATTCCTGAGGAGTGGCCGAAGGCTGTGTTCTAGTTACTATTATAATCGAGTCATGTAAAGTTTCCTTCCTTTCAGCCAGAAGATGGGGTTCTGATTTCAGACTGCCGTGTCAAGCTGACTACCATTTTTGTTACACCTTTTCTGCTCTTGTGGTGTCTGTTGCTCCAGTTCTTTCCCTTGTATTCAAGAAGCTGAGGAGAGTAATGAGGCAGGTCCTGTGTGCTGTAGCCGTTTCATTTGACCGTGCAGTTGCCTTCTCTAAGAATTTAAGCCAGACAGTTGAAGTATGTGCTAATTCTAAGTTTCATACTGCTTGTGAAGGAAATACTGGGACAGGTACAGTTTCCAGAGACCAGCTGCCTGCTCTCCCAGAGATAGATAAGGACCCAGAGTCCAGAACTGGGACCTTTTCTGCTGCGAGTCCGTGATACAGTGCGGAAAGTAGTCATTTTTCCTGCCAGGATTATTTCATGTTATTAACAAGCTTGCTACTGAATTTTAGTAGCTGTAACTCTTTTGCTTTTTGATATTTTCTTCTTCAAAGTTTGCTATTATCTGTCTTCTGCCTCCAATTTCAAAAGCTCCCTTAACGGACGGCACAGAGGATCCAGCTTCAACACAGCACATTTTTGGTGTAATGACTGCCTTTTCTACAACCACAAATCACAAGTGATGCTAGGAAAAGAGCTTGGTAACTCAGTTGTGCTGGATTCACTGTGTTGGCTGTGGAGCGCAGCAGAGCTGCAGAAATTCCCAGCGGAGGGTGTTTGTGCTGTGGAGCTGTGTTCTCTGGGGTGCCGTTTCCAGAGGTTTTCCCTTCCACCTGGGACTCATAACTTCTCTTTTGAAGAGCTTTCAGCAGTGGACTGAATGCATGCAGGACCTGCACCATCTGTCCTGCATCTTTGGAGTCCTACCCACAGTGGTAACCCACTCTTTTTGCTCTTGCTCTTCCAGGGATCTCTATGCCCATTCCAGTCATTGGTTTGCAGGATGACTCCAGGGTGTTCGTAAACGGGAGCTGCGTTCTCAACGACGAGAACTTTGTCCTCATTGGGTCCTTTGTGGCATTCTTCATCCCCCTCATCATCATGGTGATCACGTATTGCCTCACCGTGCAGGTGCTGCAGAGACAGGCGACGGTGTTCATGTGCGGTGAGGTGCCCAAGCAGCGGAGGAGCAGTGTAAACTGCCTAAAGAAAGAAAACAACACAGAGAACATTTCAATGCTTCACAATCATGAGGGGGCATCACATTTGAACTCTCCAGTAAATAAGGAAGCAGTGCTTTTTCGGAAAGGAACTATGCAGTCCATCAACAACGAGCGAAGAGCCTCCAAGGTCCTGGGCATTGTCTTCTTTCTGTTCCTCATCATGTGGTGCCCGTTTTTCATCACTAACATCATGTCTGTCCTTTGCAAGGAAGCCTGCGATAAAGTCCTCTTGAGTGAACTCCTGGACGTGTTTGTTTGGGTCGGGTATGTTTGCTCTGGGATAAATCCCCTCGTATACACACTCTTCAATAAGACCTATCGCAGGGCTTTTTCCAATTATATCCGCTGCCAATACAAGACCAGTAAAAAATCAGCACTGCGGCAGAATCAGTGCCTGAATGTTGCTTCAACAGCATTGTATGGGAAAGATCTGACTTTAACTAGTTACCGGAATGGCAATGAATTCAACAGCATGGAACTAGATGAAGTTGAGGAGGGTCTAGAAATGCAGCCAGGGACTTCAGAGCTCTCCATAAACAGCTGTAATGTTGTAAGCGAAAGAGTGAGCTGTGTGTAAAGGTGGCTCACACAGCCTTTTGCTACGGTATATCTGTAGCCAAAATATATTGTGTAAAAAATGTAAGTGTTGGTCAAAGAACAATGTAAATATTGCATTCTGAACAAAGCTTTTTTTTTTTTTAACGAAAAAAGAGTTGTCCTTCCAGTCCAGTACTTAAAATCAGATATATTAATATATTGCAGTGAAGTTTAAGGTTCTATATTTACTGTTAATACTAGATCAGAAATATTAGTTACTTTGCATATGTCATGGACAAACTGTTTGAATTCTTCTTCCAGTGCATGAACAAAAATGCTGAATATTTATCTCAGGTGGCATTTGCTGGAGTCCAGAATGGCGTGGTAATAGTTATATATCAAATACATGCTATTAGACTTGGTCAGTATACCTTTCTTTTTCCAGTTGACAGTAAATATATACTTTAAATCCTCACCCACATTTGTGCCATGTAAAGACTGTACAGAATCCTGGCGGAGAGGCATCACAAAAGCGTAGCAGTTTTGCAGTCACTTGCCCAGACGTGTCCTATTACGGGTAATGGCTCGCTGGCATACTGGGGCAAGCTCGTGCCTCGAGGGACCTCTCTTAAGTTTTGTCTCCCTCTGCAACCCTGCTGGAGTCTTCTATTTCCTTTCCATTCGCCAGGAGGTTCCTGCTCCATCAGAAAGGAAGGGAAGGTAGTGCTGGTACAGGTTTGCTGTCCTGGCTGGATCCCTTGTTCACTTGGAGAAGCCTAAGAAACAGCGCAAACCCCCAGATATCCGATTGAACTGTTTATAAGAGAGCGCCTCAGAGTGTAAAAAGCCCACCCTCCATCCAAACGACAGCCATGGGCGCTGGGACGGGGGAAGCTGTGAGTGGGTGCCCCGCTTTGCGGCCACCGACAGCTCGGCGCAGACGGCTCTCAGCCATTGCTGTTGGTGTGCCAAATCATTT